TGCATTTATGCCAATATGGAACCAATTACAGAATTATATCTAGGTGGCTGGACTTGCTCTATTTTCGAGCCTGCTTCACCGAGTCACCACGCGAGTGAGTAAAAACAAATGCTGCGGAACATTCAAGGGTTTCAATCTCGGAGGTGATAGCCATACAGAAATACAGCCTCTCATAGCACTGCTTAGAACGCGGCGATGGATTGATTCATACTCGACGGTATCGGCGACAGCCGTGTCGGACCCCGAGTGTTGTCAAGACTCACCATTCTACTTCAGGTGTTGAATAGAGGCCAGATTTGTATTCTGCCTAGGCAACTGAGCATTTAGACTTTCTCCTGTAGGTTATCTTTGACGTAGAAGTTAAGCAAATGATTATCCTCGGGACGGAGATAGCTTAGCTCCATCCTAATAATTTAATTCGAACTGCCAATTTACGAGCATTTCACATTGCTATCACGTATCTATATATCCTGACCCGTACTAATCACCACTTGTCCTTACCTTTTTTGGCAGCAAACTAAGTGAAGTAACAAAGCTTACATAATAACCTGGCTACTAAGGCTGCTGCCAAAATCCTTGTCTATCCACTTTTAATAGTTAATATTCAATTAGACTGCGTATCCCGGTTCTCATCAAACGGGTTTCTGGAGGAATAAACAGTAATTGTGGCTCAATCCTCGCAATCGGTTCGCCTACTGATCACTCGAACAGTATGAATCAACGTTTTGGCTTCACTTTTCTGCTCATGTCCCCCTCTACACTTTGCCTCACCACACATAACTCGTGTGACGGTCCCCACATTCTCCCCACCCGCAATGCTCTTGATTTTCATTAGCGCGCATACTTCTCGCCATGTGACATCACTACGATCCGTAATCGCTTATTTGCCTGTTCCCAATTTTTTACTTCACTTTTGCAGCTTCCAAAAATGCGCCCATATGTAGCACCGGGGTGGGGAATTCTTAGCTTTATTAAGCTGTTTCAACTTTATACTGACAGTATCCACTTGAATAATGCCTATTACCCTTTATTCTTCACTTTATTATCATCAATTTGGCTGTTACATAGCCTGTAGTTTCTCACTTAAAATCCCGTCGACTTGATAACTTGGCCCATCAAAAATCCGGGTAGCTCTGCACAGATACCCCTCCAAGCCCCACTATTTGCACACCTTTGGCACTGGCGAACTAAGTATGTGTTCGCGCTTTTACCACATCGGACGTCCGGCATCACATAATCATTGCGTGGACCATACGATTCAGCTCCATCACAGTACGACGGGCTAGCAGGTGGCTACATTGCCGGAGCCCACCTACGCACTTTTGCAACATACGCATTGCTTCCCCAGCAATCAGGTAAGGATAAGGATTCGTCGGAGCCGTTTTCCTTTCGTATTTCTTACATTAAGAGAAAAGGGCTTCCTCAGTCTACGCCACTGGCGAATAGTCTTCTAGAAAAGATGGCTGCGAGGTATCTTCCTGCATAAATAATCGATCGACGAAATGCTTGTCGCGGATATAACCAGTAATAGTGATCACTAGCAGACCTAGTCCATTTCATCTGTATATCTAACACGAGGACAGACTCCTGACAGTTTGGGGGGCTGATGAAGAGTAGTGGCGAGTGGAAAAATGAAAAATTGCGGTACCAACATGTGAGAATATTAGTTAACAGTTCGGAGTCAAAGTAGTGAGAAGCTAAGCAACTGCGTTAGTGCAGTGTAAAGTGACTAATAGCGAACCAAATAATAAAGACCTCCGCCATGTATTTACAAATGAGCCAAGAAAATGTACAGATCTACGGAGATAAGACGCGAGCGGATGCTGCTTAAAAAGACTGCGGGGACAGACTACTGTACAAACTGCTCCTGTTGTTGTTGCTGTTGCTGCTCCTTTAAGAGCTTTTCGGCCCTGAGCCTCAGCTTGTGCTTCTTGTGATACTTGGCAATATACTGTTTGACAAAGTTGCCGATTCGCTCCGAGTGTATTTTAGTCAGACCGCAGTTAAAAATCTAAAAAAAAAACATGTTAGAGAAAAAATTCTATGGCTGTTAGTTGCGCAGACTGAGTATTACCTTAATAACAGACTTTTTCATGATTTCCTTGTAATCATCTCGACTAATCTTTCCAGCAACATAGCTGGGTTTAAGAAAACTTTTAACCTCCAGAGCAATTCGTTCGCGCCACTCCTGACGACTTGAACACTCTGAGCGTTTGTGCTTAAGAGCCAGCTCCTGCAGATTAAGGGGTGGATGTAGAGGCCTAGAAGTGTTGAGAGATTCTTGAGCTGCGGAAGCATCCGTAGGATTAGACTGATTCCCGCTATTAGATGACGGGATAGGAAGAGGAGGTGGAATAAATGGAGGGAGAGAGCCGGGTTGCACTGTCTGTATAGCGTGATTGTAGTCAATTGTATTGACATTTTGGAACAATTCACGTGTGGCTGGGGGTGGAGGTGGGGGAGGAGGGGGTGGAGCAGAAAGACCTTTGCCGGATTCCGTAAGCTGGTTCAGTAAAGTGTTCGCAGCAGAACTAAGAAGCCTGTTAATCTGCTTCATAGGCGAGTCATCATGAACATCAGGAAGAATTGGGGGGGGCTGGAAATTGGAAGGTTGTCCAACAAAGGCAAGGTCTTGGGAAGCAGGATTAAAAGAAGACAATGTGTCTTTGGGAAGACCAGCTTTGCTCATTAAAGTCTCCAGGAGATTGGTAGATGATATTTGCGAGACCGTTACTTGCGATGAAGCAGGGGGAGGTGGAGGAGGCGGTGGTGGCGGCGGCGGAGGTGGAGGAGGTTGAAGTCCAAAAAGCAAGCCTTGCATATTTTGAACACTGTGAACATTAAAAGCTTGACCAGGAAAATCTTGAGGAACAGCAGAACCCTGCGTGAGAGGTGGCGGCGGAGGCTGTTGCGCAAGCGCTTGTGGATGCTGTGGCAACATTTGCTGAGGATGAACTTGTGATTGCTGTAGCTGATGAGGAGGTCGCATGCGTTGGTGTGGCACAAGCTGGAGAGGGAGCGGCGGACGTTGTTGAGAAAGCTGGAAAGGATGTTGTTGCTGTTGCTGCAAGAAATGGGGCTGTTGGAAATTCGGTCCATGAAAATGCCCAATGAGGGGCTGATTTGTGGCCTGGGAATGGTGCATACGATGTTGTAAATGTGGTCTGGGGCCGGAAAAGTTCTGCAAATTAGGTGGCCAACAGGCGGAGGGTTGTGGGACCTCCATTAAATTGGGAATTCGAGGCCGGCCCAGCATGTGCTGAACTGACATACCCTGCGGCACGTTAGGAATAGACGGTTGGTTTATGGGTCTTTGAATAATCCCTTTGTTAGTACCGAAAACAGGTAGACGAGATTCGGAAAGTGAGACTACAGCCTGGTCGATTTGAGCAGGCGGCCTCCAAGGTATTACCTCAGGAATATCATCAGGAAGTTCTCTGGGCCTAAAGCGATCGTCCTGCCTTTTGTCCTCTTTGTCCATCTTATCCCGACGGTGATCGCGATCTGACCTACCACGCGAATCGCTAGGGCGGCGCTGCCTGGAGCGTTTGTCTCTGCTTTTGGAGCTCCTACCTCCGTAGCCATTATCATCTCTTTTTGACGAGCGTCGGTTTCTGGATGAAGATCTCGATCGATGGCGCCTCCGGTCCCTTGATCTTGATCTATGTTTTGCGTTTGAGTGACGATGGTGTGACCTGGATCCTGAACGAGATTTCCTTCTTCGTTTGTCTCCCGACCTAGATCTACGGCGCCGAGAAGGGCTTCGTGTACGAGAGCTTGATGGAGCCCTAGCTTCAGTTTTTATATCAGACATCTCTTTTTTGGAGTCGTCTGTGTTCCTCGAGGCAGGGGCAGAAATAACATTAGCAAGTGGACATGAGTCGTTAAAAGTCAGATCACCAGGCTCAGGATCCTCTAGTTTTGGACTGGATTCTGAATCAATCAACTTTCGTATTACTGAATTCTCCTCATCTGACAGAGGTCTAACTGACTGGGAATTCAGGTTGACTTCGACTGGAACAGCAGCAAAGTGTTCAGTAAAGCAAGTAGCGGCAAAATTATCGTTTGAATCCAGAGTAGGAGTTGGAACGCCGTCACTTCCTAGGTCCATATCATGATCAGTGGGATGTGAGGGACTGTATGCATCCATTGTTAGCAGGGAAAAGTAAAATCCATCAAGCAAATTGACTCCACTAATGATCAATCAGCATTCTGAGAGAAAAAATAATATAGGCTTATGTATATTTTTTAAAATATTAATCATTAATGCACCTAAATAAGTAAGAGGGTATCGCAAACCAAATGACGGGAAGAGCAAGTGCAATAACGAAACCTGGGAGCAGGGCGAGAAAAAGAATGTGTAAAACAACTTAAATATAAATAATAATATTCCTACAAATAGTCTAAATTCCTTATTAAACATAATTTTTTAAATATATTTTATTTATATAGGTACTATAGTTTTAAGCCAAATCATAGTGGGATTATATGAAATTGATGTAATGAAAATAAATACGAAGTCTGGATAAACTAAAAACATAATCTGTTATACAGAATTGAAAATATAAAGGGATTTTTTACTGGAGGAAAATATATATCTGATTTGTATTCACCTTAGCTAGTTTAAAGTGTTGAAAGAATTATATTATTAGGGGGACTTTCATGCGAACTGAAGGTCTCCCTAATGATATTACCTCAAGAGATTCATCAAAACCTTAATACCTAAAGTTGA